GGACTATATGCTTCTTCTTGTATTCTTGGAAGTCCTACACAGATTCCTTATCTCATTCTCAGACTAGGTTGACATCCCTGACTGTTTCCAAGAAAAGCAGAACAGAAAGGTGAGAAATTTGGCCTTTGTTTGCCCAAAAGCATGACCATGTTCTCCAGATTCTCAAAGTTGAGAAGAGAACTTGGTGAATGGTTGTCAGTTGGGAAGAAGAATATATGAATGTAAAGAAAGCAGAACAGAATAAGGGAATCGGATTGGAAGAAAAAAGAATAAGGGAAAGGTAAAAAGCACTTCCATTCCTTCATTACGAGGGACCAGAAATAAGCCTTAGAGGACATCTTTGTTAAACCCTTTTCACTGAACAGGGTTTAGTCCAAACCCCTTCAATATGACAAACAGCACTCAACGAGTACTCCTTAATGATATTAACATCCACATGGAGGAAAGTAAGCAGTGGGGTACTACAAGATTCCGTCTTAGGCCCAGTACTCTCCAATATCTTCATAAATGACTTAGAGTGAGGGAATAGAAGGGGAACTCATAAAATTTGCAGATGACACTAAGCTGGCAGGAATAGCCAACACCCCGGAAGACAAACTCGGGACCCAAAAATATCTTGACAGACCTGATCAATGGGCCCTATCCAACAGAATGGAATTCAATGTGGAGAAAATCAAGATTTTGCACCCAGGCAGGAAAAAACAAAGGTACAAGAACAGATTAGGTGAGACCTGACTTAAAAAACCAGTAACTGTGAGAGGGACCTTGGATTCTTAGTGGGTGAGCAATGTGAGACAGCAGCCAAAAAAGCTAATATAACCCTTATAAACCGAGGCATTGAATCAAAATCACGTGAAGTATTAGTACTGCTTTATAAAGTCTTAGTAAGGCCACACCTGGAATACTGCATCCAGTGTTGGTCGCCACATTACAAAAAAAGATGTTGAGACTTTGGAAAAAGTGCAAAGAAGAGCAATTAAGATGATTGTATTGTATTGTATTGTATTTATTTGTCTTGTATGCCGCCCACTCCC